AGGAAGGTAACATTCTGAACTGCTAAAAGGAAATAAGGAAACAGACAACTTTATTCTGTTTTCCATATGGTTTGTGTAATCAACTTTTAGGGAACATTGAAATCTCCTACAACATGCTTCCATGGTCCCTTGAATTTATCATGTTACTTATCACAACATATTGTAGTTAACTGATTGTCTTTTTTAATAACATATGTTTTATTGGAGCAGAGTTCATCTCTTTCTTCTTTATTGTTATATCTGTACCGTCCAACTCTACGCCCAGCACATAGGAAGCACTTGCTATACTTGTTTTATAAATTTTCAGCATAATCCCTAATTAAAGTAGAAACAATCCCAAGAGAGCTTCATTTCCAATCAGGTGACTAAATGTTTGTCCTCATAATTCTAGCCATTTTAAGGAAATGAATAAATTTCCAGAATGACTAATTATGCCTTCTCTTTTCAGAAATTCTTTCCCTCTTCTTCACTATATGAATAAGGATTCAAAAACTTAAGGTGATGGTCATAACTAGACCTTTATAGTCATTTGATTTCTGTGGCTTTCTGAAAGAGTAGAATTGGCTTCCTTTAGCTTATACCTTTTATATACACATTTTGGCAGGTAAAATTTCTCCTGGCGGTATTCTGCAAAAATGACTTTTTAAAAAATAGCCATGTTATAGTACACTGGGTCGCAGACCAGAGAAGCTGAAGAAACAAAAAGACTTAAGCTTAATGTCTCAATCCTGTCTCAGAGAGTGCTGTCAACTAAATGAAATTGGGAGTTACTGCTATTAAGAATAGTTAACATCTCCCAGTCTACTTACTTAAACTATTAACAACACTTTTTTCCTTTCCTCTAATCCCAATCATAAAAGACGGAGGATAGCAGCCAGTGAAGATGAGTTATAAAGGAATACTAAAGTGACTAGTGATATGAAGTTGAAGAATTTAAAATTCCTCAAAATCAGACTTATTCTATTGATCTCTCCTTGCCTCCACTTGAAAATATAAAAGACTACAGATGCCTTCTTAGGACTTTAGAACCTGTCCAAGGATAGTTCCTTTGGCTTACTGCATTATTGAGAAGATGTCTGCTGACAGTAAAAAGTGAAGTCCAAGAATTCCAGATGATGCCTCAGATGGAGACTAGAGGCCTTCTCTGCAGAAGCAGTTTGGCATGGCTTTGTTCTAATCTTGTGCTTCTCTAGAGGTAGAAAAACAAAATAAAACCTAAAACCACTCAACCAAAAAAATATCTTTGCCAGACTTCTAGCAAGATCACCCAAGTCTGGCTTTTGAGCAATTAATTCTGTTGACCACTCAAACAGGGATATTGTTCATGCCCATTGATTATATGTTGACTTCAGCAGCCTGCCTTTTTCTGCATTCAATTTGGTATGGGCTGCAGCAGTCTCTAGCTCATTAATGACTTCAGGATGTTAAATCAAATTTGTTTTTCCACACATCCCAGCCATTTTGCAATAAAACTTTCAGAGTGTGTTGAACACAACTGATTTATCCAGAGAGTCCAAGCGTCTTCTTTCCCAAGTGTTCCCTTCCCACTGCTCCTTCCCCTCTCCCATACACTCACAGATATGTTTCCTTTCTCTCTCCCCTGCTTAGTTTTGCCCCACAAAGGCGGAGGCCCGGCGGAGTGCTGCAAAGATTGCATTAATGAACTCTGTGTTTAATGAGCATCCTTCCCGGAGAATCACTGATGAGTTCATTGAGAAGAGTGTCTCTGAGGCCCTGGCATCTTTCAATGTGAGTTATCTGGAGCTGGAAGGAAGGGTGGTGGATGAGAAAGCTGGCTTAGTTGAAAAGTCTTACAAGTTACTGGTGAAGGGAGCATGAATTCTTCTTTTCCTTCCTGCCTATATGTCTGTTTCTCCTGTTTATTATCTGTCAGTCTTTTGTGTGATATGTACCATATGTCCTGGTCTCTAATTCTTTATATATTCTCATGTATTTTTTGGTTTTTGAATACTTTCATTTAAAATCTTTGCTACCTAGACATCTTTAAAAACTTAGGACCTTTATCTGCTATTCAAAAATAAAATTTGAGCTTGAATTTTTATTTTCCCAATTTTAGCTTAAGATCTAGTTCCTTCTTGCAGTGCTCTTGTTTTATGGACCTCTGTTTTCTCTCTTCACTTATTTCTTGTTTTCATTTATTTAGCTTATTAATAAAGAAAAGCTTTATGATACAATGTCTTGTCTTTTCCTTTCTAGGATGAGAAGGGTAATTTATTTGTTTTTTTAAAAAATAATATTTGTTCTTCCAACTAATGATAAGGATGATGGCCATATATAATCATAATTGAATATTTATCTTGTAGCAAGTACTATTTTAGGTATTTCATATGTATTTTATATCATTTGATTATAACTATAGTCCTGTGAGATAAAGAGAGCTCTGGGTGGCCTAGTGGTAAGAAGCTGCGCTGCAATTTCAAAGGCACGTGGTTCAAGTCTATCAGCTGCTCCGAGGGAGAGAGAGATGGACAGTCTCCTCCTGAATGATTAACTGTCTCTGAAAACCTGCCAGAGGGTCAGCTGTGAGTCGTTTCTGACTTGATAGTACACAGCAATATGAGAATAAGTACAATTATTATCTCTGTTTTACAGACGAGAAAACTAAAACCACAAAGGCGAAGTTATTTGCCTAAAACGACGTAGTAGTAAGTGGAATACACTGGAACATGAACAGACATCTAGCTATACCTTTTTTAGCTTAGGCATTTGAGCTAAAACATTTCAAGTTAAAGTAGACTAGACATCTTGGAAATCCACCACTCCTCAGTCGGTTTGTTGAACTGTTTGTGGTACCTTGTATGTTGCTGTGATGCTGGAACTAATGCTAACCAGTATTTCAAACACCAGCATAGTAAATAGGTTTTCAGAGAGATGAGTAGGAAGCAGGACTGGCTGTCTACTTCTGAAATAAAGGGCATTTGAAAATACTATGAGTAGCAATGGAACATTTCTGATACTAGTGCTTGAAGTAGAGTCCCTCAGGTTGGAAGGTCCTCAAAATATGACTGGAGAACCCTTGCTCCTTCAAAGTAAAGAAAACAGATGCAGTAAAGCTTTCAGCCAATGAAGGACCTTCACTTGCTGAGATAGTAAGACTTCAGATGAGGAGAAACAGTTTGGGGCTCATCTGTATGAAATAGAAATTTAAGAAAATTGGAAGTTTAGAAAAAGATAGTTTAAAAGCCTAAAGATCAATATCCTAGGCACTGGTAAGTTGAAATGAACTTCTATTGGATATTCTGAATCAAACAGCCATATGATCTAGTATGCAGCAACGACAAACTAAAGAGGAATGATGTCATCGAACTAAAGAGGAATGATGTCATATTTATTTTCAAACAACATTTCAAGATTTATCTGAAGTACAATGCTGTTGATGACAGGATAGTATCCATATGCATATAAGGAAGTCCTGTTAATAGGATTATTGTGCAAAGTTATGTACCAACCACTAAATCCAATAAGGAAGGAATTAAGGATTTTTCCCCCCCATCATTGTTTATTTAATAAGTACACAGTTTCTAGAGCAAGATTAAGATACCATTGTCATTATTATATCTTACTCTTCAGAGAACATCATCTCCACAAGGCTGGCCTGAAGACACTCAGATTCCACCAGGTTTTGAGGTGTTCCATATTTAAGTAGTGTAGGCACTGCCGTTACTTTCAGCTTTTTTCTGAAGTCATTGTTGGGATCTTTCCAGTAAGGTTTTTCTCCTACTTGGCAGTAGATGAAAACACATCCTTCATTAATATGCTTCAGGCCCTCTCGAATGACTGGTTCAGCTTGCACACAGTCAGGGCACCAACTTTTCCCTTCGGCATCCTTAGAACGCGTAAAGTAGGCAAAAATGGTCTTGCCATTGTGCTGCTGGTTGAATTCCTCGAAGCCCATCACGGGTACTTCCTCATAGCTGGCCATTGAGACAAAAAGCCCCAAGTAAGGAAAAGAAATAGCAAAACCCGCCACCCTGGGGCAGGTCCCACGTGGGACCGAATTAAGGATTTTTATCAACATCTGCAGTCTGATATTGATTGAACTTGCAATCAAGATGTATTAATACTAACTAGTGAGCAGATTGCAACAGTTGGAAACAATTGGAAAGAAGGATTAGTAGTAAGTAGGAAAATATGGCTTTGGTGATAGTAATTAAGACCAGAGACTGCGTGATAGAATTTTTATGACAAATGACTCATCAATTGCAAATACCTTTTAAAA